GTTTTCTCCTGGTCCCGTGCAGAAAGCCGTCGCCCCGCGGCTAATCCGTCTCTCCCGCTCTGCTTTTCCAGCCAAGAAAGGACCCGACGGCTTAGCTTTGCCCAACAACTACTGCGATTTCTGCCTGGGGGACTCCAAAATCAACAAGAAAACGGGGCAACCGGAGGAGCTGGTCTCGTGCTCGGACTGCGGGCGATCGGGTAAAGGAGGGAAAACGTCCTCCCCGGCGTCTTCGCCTGCCCGGAGACGTCGAGGGTTTGGGTCGGAGCTGGGGAGAAGGATTTATTTATTTCTTTCTTTTTTTAATCCCCTGCCTTCACGTGCGTCCTGCCCGCTTCGCAGGGCACCCCTCCTGCCTGCAGTTCACCCCCGTGATGATGGCGGCCGTCAAGACGTACCGCTGGCAGTGCATCGAGTGCAAGTGCTGCAATATCTGCGGCACCTCCGAGAACGACGTGAGTACCCCCGGAACGAGAGGATTAACCCCAAAAAGGAGCGGGGCGCCTTCCGGGGACGCCCCCGGGGCGGCGTCCCGTCCGGTGCTGCGGATCAGGGACGGGGGAAAGCCCGGAGGGATTGTGAGCGGCCTCTTCCTCCGGGGATGAGATTTTAATAGTCGATAGGGCGCGTCGGAGGCGTTTTGGGGGGAAATCTTTGGGCTTTCATAGTCCGTAGGACACGGGAGAGTCTTTTTGGGGTGAGATCTTTGGGCTTTCATGGTCTGTAGGACGCGGGAGAGTCTTTTTGGGGTGAAATCTTTGGGCTTTCATGGTCTGTAGGACGCGGGAAAATCTTTTCGGGGTGGAATTTTTGGGCTTTCATAGCCCGTAGGACTCAGGAGAGTCTTTTTGGGGTGAAATCTTTGGGCTTTCATGGTCTGTAGGACACGAGAGAGTCTTTTTGGGTGAAATCTTTGGGTTTTCATAGTCTGTAGGACACGGGAGAGTCTTTTTGGGTGAAATCTTTGGGCAGAGTCTTTTTGGGGTGAAATCTTTGGGCTTTCATAGTCTCTAGGACATGGGAGAGTCTTTTTGGGTGAAATCTTCGGGCTTTCATAGCCCGTAGGACTCGGCAGAGTCTTTTTGGGGTGAAATCTTTGGGCTTTCGTAGCACGTAGGACATGGGAAAATCTTTTTGGGGTGAAATCTTTGGTCTTTCGTAGTCCGTAGGACTTGGGAGAGTCTTTTTGGGGTGAAATCTTTGGGCTTTCATAGTCTCTAGGACATGGGAGAGTCTTTTTGGGTGAAATCTTCGGGCTTTCATAGCCCGTAGGACTCGGCAGAGTCTTTTTGGGGTGAAATCTTTGGGTTTTCATAGTCCGTAGGACACAGGAGAGTCATTTTGGGTGAAATCTTTGAGCTTTCATAGTCCGTAGGACTCGGGAGAGTCTTTTTGGGGTGAGATCTTCGGGCTTTCATGGTCTGTAGGACGCGGGAGAGTCTTTTTGGGGTGAGATCTTTGGCCTTTCATGGTCTGTAGTTCATGGCAAAATCTTTTGGGGGAAAAGATGGTGCTTTTGGTCATCCGGAGGACGTGGCGCTGTCTTTTCCGGTCGCTCCGACGGAGCTTGGAGGACGACGGAAAGGGACCCTGGTCCCCTCGGCCCTCCCCCCCGCCCCAACCTTGTCCTTCAGCCATGTCCGGGTGGAATAATCCGAATTTTCCCCCCGTCTCCCTCCCCTCGGCTTAGGACCAGCTGCTCTTCTGCGACGACTGCGACCGCGGCTACCACATGTACTGTCTCACCCCCTCCATGTCGGAGCCACCCGAAGGGTTGTGCCGCTCTCCCCCCCCAACCCCATCCGCCCTCCTCCTCTTCCGAAATGGGTCCAAACCAGCAGAATTCGGCCCAGAATGTTTCGGACCCGCTGCCGCCCATGGTTTTTGGGGCGGGTGTGGATGGGTCTGTCGTGCCACAATCGAAAATGACGGGGTCATCATTCCGGCTGTTCCCCAGTTATTCCTCCTCTGCTCCGCTGGAGAAACGGAAAAGCTTTTTTCCCCCCAAAATCCATCCCCGACATCCCTTGCGCCCCAAAACGTCTCCGTATCGGCCGGTAAAGCCGAGAGGGATCGTTCTTCTTCCTCCTCTTCCTCTCACCTTCAACTGGCGGCGTCGAAGCCAAAAAAAACCACCCCACCCCGGCGTTGGCAACCCCAAAATCTCGCCGCCGCCTCACCGCTGGTTAATTACCGCCGCGGTTAATGATCAGCCGCTCTCCTGGGCCGCCTTGGCTTGAAGGTTAACGAGGAAGAGGAAGGCTTGCGGGGTCACGAACCCGCAAACAGCCCTGTAAACCGCCCCCTCCCCATCCTCTACCTGTAATTAAGAAGCCGTGACCCTTAACGAAGCCCTAACGAGGGTAAAACCAGGCCACCCACGTGTCCTTCTCTCCGCAGGGAGCTGGAGCTGCCACTTGTGTCTGGACCTGCTGAAGGAAAAAGCCTCCATCTACCAGAACCAGAACAGCTCCTGATCCCGCTCTGCCGCCGCGCCGGGCTCCCCGCTGCCCTCGTTCCACGCGGTTTCCCCCTTTTTTTGGGGTCTTTTATTCTTTTTTTCCTGTTTTGTTTTTTTTTTTAAGCCTTCCCTGTTGTTTTTTTGCTCGATTTGGGTTTTTTTCCCCCCGCCCTGTTTTTTAATCGCTTGGGGAAGAGGGTGTCGGGGTTTAGCTGCTTCATTTTTGCCAAGCGAGGGGTTATTTCCAAAAAAATGGCGGCTTCATTTTTGCCACGCGAGGTTTTGTTTCCGCCCCTGCGGGGACGGGGTGACGCTGCCGCGCCCCCGCGGAGCGGTTTTCGGGGTGACGCCGCGGCGTCCCCAGGGACCCCGTCCCTACTTGAGGGGACATCGGCGGGACAGGGCTGCCCTTCCCATCGCCGTTTCCTGGCTTTTCCGCCCAAAATAAGGCGCCCAAATCCACCCCGCCGCCCCCCCGGCGACGCGGCGTGCCAAAAAACTCACTTTCCCCTCCGCCTTTTCTCGGGAAAATTCAGACCCTGCGCCAGCCGGGGCTGCATTTTGGGGGCTTTTTGTTGATTTTCTTACTTTGAGGGGGAGATATTTTTTATTTTCCTTTTTTTTCTCCCCGTTTTTATCGTTTCTCTTTGCCCCGCCGTCTCTCCCGCCTCGGAGGATGCTCCCCCCAACCCGGCCGACCCCCGCCCTGCCCAGACGAGGCCTTACACCCCGACATCCTCCTCCGGCCGGCACGAAACGGGGCAAAATCCCTCAATTTTGGGCTTTTCCCTTGCTCCCACACGGCGCAGAGGGAGAAACGCTTCGCCCCGTCGTTCCCCAACCCGTCACGGTCGCACAGGGTTTGTTTTGGGGGGGAGATTTATTTTGGGGGAGAAAAAGCCGCTTTCACCCCCAAAAAGCCGCTGACGGGGAGAAGCGGGAGACGCCGCTGTTTTGGGGCTCTCTGGGGACACCCCGATATCCCCGTCCGCCCCCCTCCCGAGGGTCCCGTTGACTGAATGTGCCTGTTTTTTCTAAAAATCAACTTTAAAAAACCTACCTCCGAACCCCCCCTCCCTGCCACCGCACCCCGAATTTCACCTCCCAGAACCCCCCAAAAGAGAGGAGCCAACCGGGACGGTGGCAGAGCAGCCCCGCAGCCGGTCCCACGAGCAGCGAAATAGCTCCAAAATGACCGAAATAACCCCCAAAATGACCGAAATAACCCCCAAAATGACCGAAATGAACCAAAACCCCTCAAAATTGACCAAAATCCCTAAAAAATACCGCCAAAAAAACCCAAAAAACCAAACCCGGATCTGGGTGACGAAGCGGCTCCAGCCCGGTGGTTTCTCTCCTCCCCCTCCTTGAGCGCGATTCGGGTGGAAAGGAAAGCATTTTGGTTAAAAATGGGTGGTTTTCCCCCATTCTCGCGCCCTGACGGGGGCGGGACGATGAAATGTCCCTTAACGGGTGGGTTTTACCCCAATTTCCCCTCAGCAAAGCTTCACGGTTGTGTCTTATCCGGGAAAAAAAAAAAAAAGTGACACCAAAACGGCTTGTTTTCGTAATAAAAATGGATAAAAAGGCAGCGGTGTGGAACTGAGGGCGTTTTGGGGCAAAAACAGGCGGTTTTGGGACGCTGGTGTCTTGAGGGGTGCCTGGGTTTGGGGTAAAAACCGCCTATTTAGGAGCTCGGATGTGGCTTCTCCGAGGGCTGCTGCTGTGGTTCTGCCGCCCTCTTCTTTGGGGTGAATAAACCCAACGTAGCTGCTTGGATGTGGCTTCTCTGAGGGCTGATAGTGAGGTTGTGCTACCCTGTTTTTCGGGGTGAAATCTGCCCCGTTCGGGGCTTTTGCCACTCGCTGACCTCGGCTTGACGTGAGGATTAATCCCTTTGCAGATTTATTTTGCAGCTAAATCGCCCGAATTGGGGCAAAGGCCGGAGCTCGAGAGCCAGGACCCCGGCGTCCGGGTAATATATAGAGGAAATGAATCCTCGGTACCCTCCTTTGGGGGGGGGGGGC